TTTTAGCAAAATCTTGTTTTAGTAAAAGCTATGATTTTCATTTATCCGTTTATAGTAGAAGTTAAGTTACAGAACCGTTATCGAAGCCACACATGATACTTGTTGCATCAATGTCATAATTACTTCATAGTGCATACTTGGTTTAATATTAAATATTCCACGTTCCTGGTTCTAGCGCGACTGCATCGCGCGGCTACCCCAAATTACAATAAGTTTATAATATTCTATTTAAAAACAATCTTCTCCTGTCCTTATAAAATTAGTTTAACTCTTGAAAATATTAGCTATAATATTGGTTGCAAATATAATTATATTTATGTGTGCGCAATTAAATTTTAAAAAACTGTATAAAGTATACTTGTGCAAGTAACTTTTTTTTTGAATTTAAGCATTGGTCGACATGTCTATAAAAATGCAGAGGAAAATCGACAATCTCCGATTGGCCAAATAAATAGTATCATTTGATATCTGATATCCGCTTAAGTACGTACGTACGTACGTACGTAATACGTACGTAATACGTATGCGCAGTACATAATCTTTATACGCAGCAGTTTTAAATTTACTATATAAGTGGCGTGAGTACAGACTAAACGTTATTACAACTTTTTACAACTCTTTACAACTTTTAAAACATTAAAAGATGCAATTATACGGGCTTATTTTCATCGTAGGGGATAGTCCAAACCCCGTTCCTTTACAAAATGTTTCTGTTGAAGCGAACAGTAAAGTTTCTTTTTACACATACAATTTTACTACATTATTTTTATTTTATGTAACTAATGTTCTTTTTTAAATCTAGTCGTTGATATGATAGCAGAAAGTAAATTAATTTAAATATCTAAATATTATTATAATTTTATCATATTTAATGTAATTAATATCCCCGTTCGTTTAACCTAGCAACGGTTTGTCAGACATATAAAAATGTTGAAAAGGATTCGATTGAAGCTATTTACAAATTTCCACTTCATGAAGCCGCAGCAGTATGTGGATTTGAAGCTGAAATTGATGGAAAGAAAACAATTAAAGGAATTGTCAAAGAAGCAAAACAAGCTGCGCAGGAATATGATGAAGCTATTCAGGTAAAATGAAATAACTATTGCTAAAATATTATACATACTGTACGTATGTACTTATGTATGTACATATTTGTTTACATATAGTATTTACATAATATTTGTTTATACAGCAAGGTCATGGGGCTTATCTCCTCGAAGAACAATTCCCAGATGTTTTCCAATGCTTCGTTGGTAATATCACGGCTGGTCAAACGATTGTTATTAGAATCACATATGTAACCGAACTAAAACATGATGCTGAATCTGAACAAATTCGATTTGTTTTTCCTACTGCCATTGCTCCACGATATGGTTCATCTGGTTATACTCCTGCAAATGATGGGAAAAAACTTATTCCCGATGAAGTATCTTATGCTGAAAAGACTGACTATTATTTAAATCTTACTATTACGTGTAGAATGACTTCTGTTATTCAAAGCATCGAATCACCATCTCATCATATTTCAACTGAATTAAATATTGATGGTAATCCGAATGTTTCAAAAATTACTTTAGCTGAGCAAATTACTTATTTAGAAAAAGATTTTATACTTGTTGTTAAAAGTCTTGGTCTCGATCAGCCAAGGTAATGATATCCTTAATCTTATATTGCTTATTCTTTAATTACTATAAATTACTGTAAATTAATGTAAATTAATGTAAATTACTGTTATTAATTTTTTTTCTTCATTCTAGGGCTTTCATTGAATACGACCCTAAGAAAGAAACTAATTGCATTATGCTAACTTTAGTACCAAAGTTTGCTATTAATGCAATAATGTCAGAGTTAATTTTTGTAATTGATAGGTAATGTTTAGAGTTTGCAACTGTTTTTATTTTTCATATGTTAACCTCGGCTTTAATCAGTTTTACATATTAAAAATAAACCGGCTTCAAACTCTAGTAATGTTCAGAAACATAACAGATAATGATATGTATTATCATAACATAATATTAATAAATCTCTATTATAATAGGTCTGGTTCAATGCAAGGTGGGCCTATGAAAAAAGCATCCGAGGCACTCCAATTACTTCTTCGTTCATTACCTGAAGATTGCTTATTTAATGTGATATCATTCGGATCTCGTTTTGATTCTTTATTTGAAAAAAGTCAATCTTATTCCCAAGAAAGTTTCACAAAAGCTCTTAAACATGCTCAAGAAATGACTGCAAGTTATGGTGGAACTGAAATTTATAATCCTTTAAAATGGGCCTTTGAAAACTCAAGAAATGATATGCCTACTTCTGTTTTTCTTCTTACTGATGGTCAAGTTTATAACGTTGATCAAATTGTAGAACTTATTAAATCTTGTGAAGAAAAGAAAAAAGATGATTTAAGATTATTTTCAATTGGAATTGGTGATTCTGTTTCTCATAATTTAGTTGAGTCTGTTTCCCGTGCTGGTAAAGGATATTCACAATTTGTTACAAATACTGAGCGAATGGACAAAAAGATTCTTGGAATGTTAAAAAATGCTATAAAACCTCCTATTAAGGATTATAATATTACTTGGACTGATCATATCATTGAAGACTCTTTGCCAACTGAAACTAATACAGTTAATAACCCAATTATTAGCTGCTTTAGTAATATTACTACACCTCCACCAGCCGATCAAAATATTTTTACAGATACAAAAATTCAACAAGCACCATTCTTAATTCCACCAATTTATCCTGGTGTTCGATTTATAGTTTATTGCATTTTAGAAAAAGGTGTTGAAGCTTGTAAAGAAATTATATTAAGTGCAAATTCTCATGATGGTCCTATGAAACTTTCTATTCCATTGGATCCTGTAATTTTGCAGGGATCAAAAATGCATACACTTGCAGCCAGAAAACTTATTCAAGACCTTGAAGATGGAACTTCATTTATTCATAAGCATCATAGTGTTAAATTTTAATTTTATATATAAGAGTACTGTAAGAGTGCTGAATTTTAAAAATTATTCATATAAT